ATCTTTTTGGTTTTCATCGGATTGAACACTTACTTCAATTTTTGATTTTATACTTTATTATTTTTACACAGTCAAAATGATATGGTAAAATTGTTCCTTTTCTTTTTGATATTTTTTAAAGATGAAGAATTGACAAAACACTTTGATTTTTCAATTTATTTTCACTATTGACTTGTTATAGATTTTATTATAGACAGAATATTTCAGCCATGTACACACTGAGCTATTGATTGGTATTAATCTTTGTGATGAGACAGAAATTTCAAACAAAAAATGTGTAATTGCTTTTGTTTGACCTTGTGTTTTAATAGACCATTGCATTAACAAATGTAAAAATTTAGTTTCACTTATTGGAATTACCTTGTAATATGTTGAAATTTTTCATAGTAAAAACTGATGATCATGTAAGTTTTAAATGTTAGTCCCACAAAAGAGATTAGTTTTTTAAGTTTAAATAACTTGATGAATACACCAATTAAAATAAAAGGAAAAAATATATTTGAAAAAAAAATAGATAAATTTTGCCCTGGAAACTTCAACTATTTCTTTCTAATATTAAGTATAAGTGTCCTTTTTATTTCCATTTTCTCCAAAACTTTTTCATTGCTCACATGTTCACTCCATGGTATTCTAAGCATCCTTCTATAGAACCACATTTCTGTTACTTCAATTCTCTTCTTCATATTTGAGAAGATGGTCTGGTATTCACTTCCTTATAGGAGAACTGATATTACATCCTCTTTTTGTTGTTTCTAATGAAATTTTCCCATTTCTTAATACCTTACTTAGCTTTTGAAAGGCATCTTTTGTTTTTGTGCCTTTGGATTTCAGTGTCACACTTTCTGTGCTCTGTTAAAACACTTCCCAGATATTTAAATTGCTGTACTTGTTTGATTTTCGTATTTCCAATTTGTAATTTGCATGTTGGGTTGTTCCTTTTGCAACAACCATCTAAAACAATATACCACATTAATTAATGTCAGATGTAATAAAATGGAATTAATTCATTATCAATTTGAAAAAAATAAATATTAATATTGAAGCATGAAATTTAAAACATTATACCTCTAATAATTGGAAGTTTATTTACTTTATTAATTGTAAATATGGCTAATTACTAATACCAGTGTAACTGCAATTAATTACTCTTTTACAACACAAACAAACAAAATAGGAACTCTTTCATTTTGGAATCGGTTGGGGGAAGATTTTTGGGATGAAGGTTAATGAGGGAGCAATTTTTACACTGAAAGAAAGCAATATTTCTGATTATCATACAGAAACTACTACTATAATTGAAGCTGTTTTATCAAACAGAAATTTCAAGAATGGTGTAACTAAACTCATCATACTAATGCAATATAAAAACAATAATTTATTTTGTTCCAACCATAATATTTTGATATTTTTTGCCATTATCTATCTATCTATCTATCTATCTATCTATCTATCTATCTATCTATCTATCTATCTATCTATCTTTTTAGTACGATGAAAGAGAATAATAAATGATTATACAGATTTTTAATAAAGAAAACTATGGGAGACAACTCTAAATGCTTTTTCAATAACAGTTACCTCCCATGAACTGTTTGCAAAAAAAAAAATTATAACAACGAATTTTTAGCTTATTGAGAATTAACTAAATCCCTGAGGCTATAATAAGTTTTACAGGTAAACATTTCCATTGCACTAAGAGAATTGGTATCTATGCTGGTGACGCAACTATTTACTCCTGTCTTGTTATTAAGTCTGACCAGGTCAAATTGGTGGCTGAGCTAAAAAAAAAGAAAAAAGAAAAAAAAAAGAGCTCAAGTCTGTTGCAAAGAACAGTAACTATGGTAATGGATAGCTTCTTAATTTCTTTAACTCCTCCAAAACAAAACTGCTCCTTATTAATCCTCTGAGAGACCCCTCTCTGCCTTCCATCAGCATAGGTGATGATAATCCCCAAGAGAGTGACTCATTGCACCTTTTCGGGCTAATATTCTCGGCTTACATGAAGTGGAAAGACTATATATTGAATCCATTGCTAGGTCTGCCGCTAAGAAAGTTGGTTCACTGTGTCGTGTTAGACAAGTTTTCTCTCCAGAACATACCGTACATATGTATAAATCTACCATTCGTCCATACCTCGAATATTGTTGCCACATATGGTCCAGTGCTCCTTTTTTGCATTTAGAGATTCTTACAAAAATCCAAAGACGAATCAGCAATATCATTGGTTCAGACCTGGTGTCTCGAATTCACTCACTCTCCCATTGTCGTAAAGTTGCTTCTCTGTGCCTTTTCTATAAATACTTTCATGGTAAGTGTTCAGATGATCTTGCAGAGGACCGTGTCGGCGATGTTGAGTATAAGTAGATGAGTATGTATTGTAAAAGTAGACATGTGGGTTAAAATTTTCCTGCTAGCCGGCCCAACTACATGAGAAAGTTGGACTTTAATTAAGTCCAAAGAAGGCAAAGAAAAACAAACACAAGACCGATAAATATATGTAAACAAATATATGTATTAATAACAAGAAAGGTTACAAGTTACATGGACAGTTACATGGACAGAGTGCGTGCGGTGAATATTATGTGTGTGGGTTGTGGTGAGTGTTCGTACGTACGTGTATTGTTCTTAGCGTGTTCCCAGCATTTGGGAAACGCTGTATCTGTGAGCGTTCACATCTGCGAGGTGGTATAAGGCTGAAAGCTTGAGGAAGAAGCGAAGTGTCAGCGAGTATTCATGGCCAGGGGAGAGAGACCCCTGTTCAAGGGTTAATTAGCTAAGGAGGTGCTAACTCCGACAATCTTTTTGCTATGGTACCTAGACTCTATGGATTTAATCGCAGTACTAGATTAGCAACAAGGTCCCATTGGTTTACAACAGAATTGTTTAGATGTAAACGTAAGTTCTATGCTAACAGTTTTTTTTCTCGCACTTCTAGCTTGTGGAACTCACTTCCGGCTTCTTGCTTTCCAGCCAACTTTGATCTTCAAAAATTTAAATGCAATGTCAATCGCTATCTACTGTCTTCCTGATTACTCTTTTTTGTTGTTCTCGCTCCTTATTAATGCTTCCTTTTCCTAACTCTTTCACACCCAGTAAACCCCTTGTGTCTTAGTGGCTTTTTTGCCTTGCATAGCTGAATTCGATTAAAAAAAAAGTCCTTGCTTCCATCTCTTCAGTAACAGTCGAGAGAACGGAACAGTTTCTTGAGGACAAAGCATTACATACAGATTTAAAAAAGATCATGTTAAATTTGACTTTGTGAGAGAACAAATAAATTTAAAACAGTAAAAAAAAAAAAACAAAAAAAAAACAAACTACATGACAAAGTTAGAAAGAAATGAAGGAGTAAAAAAACATAAAATAGAAGAAAGAAGAATAAAAAAAATAGCGGAAGTTTTTCGTTATAAACATAAAATTGGAAAAGTAAAGTTTGTTTTGTTTTTAGATGTTTTTGCCCGTACGGGGACTAAAATTTTATTTTAATTACTAGCTGTGGACTTCTCGTTAGTATTACTAGTAAAAAAAAAATCAAGAGATTCTCCTTAGTGAATAATCTCAAAATAAAAAATGATTTTAATGAGATATATTACCCTGTGGCGGAATTCCAAGCGAACGTCGGAGTTATCAATGAAATGTAGCGTGTCTAGGCCTCTCCCCACATTTATTTAATTTTTATTTAGGAACCCAAACTGATATAACAACAAAGGACAAGGCAAAGGTATCAATATATATATATATATACATATATATATATAGATAGATAGATAGATAGATAGATAGATAGATAGATAATATTAGTGGTAAATATACATATGCAAAATAACAAAATATATAGATAGGTGCATACACATACATGTATATTTTTTTAATAAAAATTCCGAGAGGATAGAATCCAGGTAGAACTCAATGTCCAGGACAGAGTAAGGATGTAATAAAATATAATAAAATATGGAATATTAGTGTTTAAGCCTTTTTATTATATGTATGTATATATTATATATATATATATATATATATATATATATATATATATATATATATTGTATTCAACAAAGCGTACAGTAAAGAATATATACAAAAAAGAAGCATGCAATGAGTCAGATGAGAGTAGTCTCTCTTTGACTATAAAAGTTTATCAACGTTCTCTGAAAAGGAAATGAAAGTGTTTCTGTTATAAATGTTTTAGACAGTTCTGCCGTGCAAGAGGAAAGTTATGTAAGTGTGATAGAATATGTAATTTGAGAGTGAGTGAGAAGATGGGCGCATGTCTTCGACTGACGTTGATTAAAATCTCCACAGGGTCTCCACGCCCCTGATTGTGTCTTAGGTACCATATGGAGTGGGGAAGCGAAAGGACTGGATGGCGGTCGTACGATGCCGAGGTCTAACATGTGCTGAAATTCAGCCTTCGCTAATTTGTACTTATCCGGGCTTAATCTGCGAGATGAAAAACACGAGGTCCTGCAGTTTGAATCCTATGTACAGTGTTGTGCTTGACGGACTCCGTATAAGTAAAAGCCTAAAAGGTGTTGTCAGCGCCGGGAATCTATCTAAGACGTGATGTAGTGGGTTGTTTTCCGGGAATGCGGTGCAGAACTTAGTGGACGTATATGTGGAAATTATGCCTGTTTAGTGTTAGTTGGGTCGTCTGGTCGATTAGGGTGTGGTTAGACATGTTCACGGCGAGCTTGTAGAGGGCTAAGAAGTCAGCTCCGAGGATAGGAAATTTAACCTGTGCTACAGTGAACAACCACGGAAATAATCGTAGTCTTAAACCGATGTTAAGTGTGAGAGGGATTTGTTGACCATACGTCTCAATCTTGATACCGTTTTCTGCACGCAGGGTATATGTTGATGCGCCTGTTGTGGTGTTAGCTCTGGGTGGGATTACACTGGCCTGAGCTCCAGTATCCATCAAAATCAAAAATAACTCGCCTGAGTTAGTATCCTTAACAAAAAAAGACAGTGGCCTCGATTTCCCCCAACAGTAGACGCCACCTTCATGCGCTGTTGGGGACGCCTTTTCTCGCTTGTTTTTTAGTAGTAGGTGTTGATCGACCGTTGAAATGGCAAGGCTTACTACAATGTCTCGCTGCTTGTCCAAACTTTTGGTGGTACCAGCAAATACCAGTGATTGGTTTACGCCTAGTGTTCGAGTTAGCTCTGCTATGGTGTCGAGACTTGTATGCGTTGTATGCTGGGCGCGAACGTACTCTACTCAGTCGCTCCAGTTGCGTGGACAGTTCGTCGATCTGCTGCTGTATCTGTAGAATATCGTCATGCGGTGTGCTGCCCGTCGAAGAAATATGAGTGCTGTTAAGAGTTCTTTTCTCCACGATTTTATCGGCTATTGCAGCTACTCGTAGTAGGTCCAAGTCCTCAGGGAGTATTGCCAAAATTTGCGCGGTGTGGGTCAGCAGCTTATATAGCCAGTTTCCGTAGCAAAACCTCTGACATATTGTTATTATCCAGAAGGTTTTTTCAATTTCCATAGTAGTTGGGTTGGATTTGCTCTGGTCGAGTTGAAGCGTGTTGAACAAGTCGTTGATTCGTCGTTCCTCTGACTTTCCGGTCCTGTATATAATGGCTTCTTTCAGAACGTCAAATGGGTTTTCTGTTGGGACGTTATCTAACAAGTCGGTAACTTCCGATGCGATGTCAGGAGGTAGTTTCTCGACTACATAAGCGAAACGAGCGCTCTGTGACTGGATTCTCTTGGCCTGAAATATTGCGCTCAGTTGCGAGAACCAAACGTGAACATTCATCGTGTTAAAGACGGGAAGGTTGACCAGGACTGCAGCTCCATCACTGCCTGGGGCTGAACAATATTTACCCATGTTGAGATGCGTGAATATTCGCACGTGGTGACGAAAAAATTTTGCGCGCCAAGTAGATATGCTGATTCCGAGATGTTTCTCGCAATTCTCTTACAAGGTTCACCGGCGAATGAGGTAACAGTGAAGTTTTGGTGGCTTCTCTTGCAGAACAAATACAAGCCAACTAGTCTTTGTGTGGACTTTGATAAACGGGGCGTAGCGCATGCAAATCACATCAGCCTTTAATAAACGGCGGGGTTCCAAATAGACGTCGGAGGTCACCAATAAAAATGTGGCGGAATTCCAAACAAACGTCGGAGCTATTAATGAGATGTAGCGTGTCTAGGCCTCCCACAGCATTTATTTAAATTTTGTTTAGGAACCCAAACTGATATAAGAAAAAGGACAAGGCAAAGGTATCAATATATATATATATATATATATATATATATATATATATATATATATATTTGCATTCAACAAAGTGTATAATAAAGAATATATACGAAAAAGAAGCATGCAATGAGTCAGACGAGAGTAGTCTCTCTTTGACTATAAAAGTTTATCAATGTTCTCTGAAAAGGAAATGAAAGAGTTATTAGTCTGTTATAAATGTTTTAGACAGTTCTGCCGTGCAAGAGGAAAATTATGTAAGTGTGATAAAATATGTAATTTGAGAGTGAGTGAGAAGATGGGCGCATGTCTTCGATTGACGTGGATTCCAGTAGCAGTCGAAGTTTCACTGGTGTTGGTCCTCTTTTGTTCTGTTTATATAGGTAGTCATCGAATTAAGAATCTGCGCGGGAAAAATCATTCTCCACGTGCAGAGAATCTGATTGGTTTATACTGACTAATCAGTGCCTGAGTTTTGGGGATACTTCTGGGAGCCAATTCTCCCAAAAATGCACAAAATGTACTATATGAATATGTAGCTATTTTAAAATTGTCGCTTCAGATAACAGCGTTGCTTTCTGTCCAATGAATGAATGCTGTTAAAGATTTTAATTTGTAAGGGTGTATGTGTGTGTGTGCGATGATGTTGATCGCTATAACCCTCTTAATTGATTTATCTGTTCAAAACGAAAATTACAATTTAATAAAAATGAGTGCTACTGAAATTAGCACGTCTACCCGCTTCCCAATAGAGCCCCCATGAGGCTGAGAAGTTCGGGGTGGTAAGCACCGGCCCTGTCGATTATTATAATTGATAATTGACAACTAGGCCTTTTGGAGCTCCAACCTCGTCGGTGGGGTTCCTCTGTAGTACGCACCGTACTGGCTATGCAGATACACGATGTATATTATTAGTTAATGACTGACAATAACATCAGTTGAAAAATAATTAAAAAGATGGCGGATGACCATAAAAAATGCTGAAAAAAAATGACAGAGGCCACAACGGAGCCCCACAAAAAATACTCCCCCGCCAGTTGAGTGGTAAGAAGACGCACCGGTCCTATAAACAGTTATCCCAGAGAGGAGTTGGTCAATCTCTTGGTACTGTGTTGAATAAAATGTAATGTTAAATATGAAAGAGTGTTCCGTGTTATTCATTAGTCGTCACGTGTTATCACTTCGTCAGCACGATTTCGTCATACTGGACAAGAGAGCCTTGGGTGGTAACTAGTCTAGGAGAAGAAAACCTTAGAATTCTAAATCAAATCCAACGGAAACCACGTCAGTATTTTTTCCAATAAATCACATTAAATACCAGATAATAAAAAAAGAATCTGTGGAGAGCCATGATCGCTTATATCTTGAAAAAAAAAAATAATATTACTGCTTTGATTTCCAATTTATAGGCAAAAAATTAAATTCGTGTCTATCAAAATATTTTTGAACAAAGAAGAAGGTAGCAGTGAGAAGAAGAAGAAGAAGAAGAAGAAGAAGAGTAAGAAGAAGAAGAAGAAGAAGAAGAAGAAGAAGAAGAAGAAGAATCAAAACAAGATTGTTTTGTTTCATTAATTTTTTGTTGTTCCTGTCATTCATTCAACCTTCCACTGCCCATTCCCCCTTCATCTATCCATCCTCCTCCTCCTTCTCCTCCTCCTCCTCCTCCTCCTTCTCCTTCCTATTATTTCCTTTCCCACTCTCATTTAAAATCCTCCTCAATTTTCCCTCTCCTACTTCATTACTTACGCGCTTTCTTTCTCGCTGTCCCTCTGATTCCGTCCTTTCCTTTTGTTCTTCCTTTCCTTCTCCGTTTTCAACCACTCCCTTACATTGCCCAATTCTCGTCTCTCAGCTTGAATAAAGAATCCAAGGCGATTAACCAAACACAAGAAAAGGTGAATCAATATTTGTAGTTTACCTGAACGGAATAAAAAAGAAAAAAAAAAAAAAGAAAAAAAAAGAAAAGAAAAAAAAAGAAAAGAAAAAAGTGAGACTGATTCCCTTTACCTCCCTTTAAGCTCCTCTGTGTTGAAGACAAAAGTTTGAAGGTGAAGCGGTCACAGGATACCCTAGACCTGCAGGTGTCCTTTCTTCACACACACACACACACACACACACACACAGATATTATCTTTCTTGGGCGCTTACTCTAGTGCAGTGTATAACAAAAATCCAAGGCGATTAACCAAACACAATAAAATATATATATATATATATATTGGTTACTAATATTATCAATAAATATATATACCACCCTATCCATATTGGTCTAACACTGTTCATATCTATCTATCTATCTATCTATCTATCTATCTATCTCAGTCCATTCATTTTTATCTATCTATCTCAGTCCTTGTCTATCTATTTATTATCAATATATATATACCACCCTATCCATATTAGTCTAACACTGTTCATATCTATCTATCTATCTATCTATCTATCTATCTATCTATCTATCTATCTATCTATCTGAACAGGCGTCTGCAATAGGGATTGGCTAGCCGTCCTATCAAACAGTGTCCAGTTTATTAAGCTAGTGTTTAACTTCATATTTTTCCATAGTAATTTTTGGGTTGAGCATCATTCTGTAGTTTTTGTTTGTTTGCAAGCCATTTTACTTTGATACTCTCTGAATATTCCAAAAGTGTTCTGAAAGTTGTTAATATCTGTAACTAATAACAACAACATTAATTCTTTATATCTTCTCAATAACTGTATCCCATAATTTTATTTTAGATAAACTCAATAACTCTTCTGTAGTTATGCTCTTCATATTGAAACCTAAGTAATCTCTCTTCTGACCCACTGTGTGCATGCGTATATATATATATATATATATATATATATAGATAGATAGATAGATAGATAGATAGATAGATAGATAGATACATGCATACATACATACATACATACATATGTGTGTGTGTTTAAAGACTGAACAGACACATTCAAGTTTGTCAGGCACCCAGTGTGAATACAACTCTCTACAGTAGTAACAGTCTGCAATACTACACTAGTACAAAAGAGGTTAGGCTAATTTCCTATCTGAAAAGTTGCAACCTAAATACAGCACCCCCACACACACACAGAGACACACATACACACACACACACACATATATATATATATAATTCTATTCTTTTATATTATAGTCTTATATATATATATATATATATATATATATATATATATATATATATATATTGGCTACTAATATCATCAATATATATATATACCACCCTATCCATATTGGTCTAACACTGCTCATATCTATCTATCTATCTATCTATCTATCTATCTATCTATCTATCTATCTATCTATCTCATCCATTCTATTTTTATCCATTCTGTTTTATCTATCTATCTATCTATCTATCTATCTATCTATCTATCTATCTATTTCGATTTCCTTCGCTTGTGCACATGCGTACACGCACACTTCTAGAAGTAAGTAATAACGCCACTATCGATTTACACGAAATACTCTCTCACACCTGGATATGACTCGCCGACGTACGTATGTACCTCCACTTGCACTGACACACTGATTAAACATTCCCACACGAATACAGGTGTAAATTCTCAACCCTACCCCAGTTGTCGCATAGGTACGCACAGGCGCATTTTCGTGTTCTCTCCACACATATTATGCACAAGTACACCGCGCGCGAACGCGCGCGCCCGCGTAGCCACAAACTGTCATGAATTAGCCACACTAAGGACGGTCTTGTTGCAGTCTTGGGCGTGTTCGAACATAGACTAGGCATGTCTGTCTGACGATTTGGATGATATGGAGCCATATTATATCAACGACCAGACTGAGACAGGAAGAAATGGGAATTGCCGTCAAGAAAAAACAAAAAAAAACAAAAAATACAGCATTGATAGAGTCAAGCAGGTTGTTGGAAATTAACTTTTTGAAGATTATTCATAACGACTTCCTTCTGTGTTTGCTGCGTTAGTTCATTCAGACAAAACAATTCATTTATATCGTGAATATCTCAGACACAAAGGATTATTATTTTATTTTATTTTTTTTTGGAAAGAAAATAGCAAAATATAATGAATGGAAATCCCTTCACTGTTTTTTCTAAGTTCTTCAACAAAACATTAATATTTCAAATAAAATGAATATTCTACTAGCAGCAACATCATGAATAAATTCACCGAAACTTCATTATTTCATTTGTTCAACTGATTCTAACAAGATTTATTTTTCTGTAACTTTCAAGTTTCAGCGGATGTAGAATTATCTTTGTAAGAGAAATATCATTAATATTTCAATTATTAACCTTTCAAAAGTTTTCGCTGGCTCAAAGTAGAATTGACTGCATTGTTATGCAATCTTGAAAGTATAAAGACTGAAAAAAAAAACGAGAAAGGAAGGGCAGACGACATGCAAGACACTAAATCAGACTGAGAGAAAATACGAACCACAAACAGAGGGAGAAAAAGAGAGAGAGAGAGACTGTGAAGAGTTACTTTATGGAAAAAGCAGACGATCTGTTTCTGTTGAGTGTTACCAAACAATTGGTGCAACCATAATTCGGTCCGAGAAATACCAAAAACATTGCAAAGATGCTTATTTCTTGCGAAATTGCTTTAACAAAAAATGTGTTACTCATTTTTAGCTTTCTGGATCTTGAGACGAACAAAATGCCAAAAAATCACAGACGCTTCATATTTACATCTAACCTCCTTTTGCATTAACTAAAGTGGGTTTTCTTTTTTGTTTTGTTTGTTTATTGGTTTTTTGTTTGTTTGTTTTTTTGTTTTCGTTTTTTTTTTTTTTTTTTTTTTTTTCTTAATTAACTAAATGGCTATTAGACATTTGCAAACAAAATTGAGTGGATTTAAAAACTGAAAAGAACATTTTTGCAACCGGAAACTTATTACTAAAATCCATACATAACAAACAACTGCAAGTAATTAACTTTTTGGTTGAACATTTTCCCCTGAAAAAAAAAAAAAATCAAATCTGAATTATTTTAGTTGTGGAAACTGGACTCTGAACAGTTTTTGTCAGCGAGCGTTTTCTTCAATTTGAAATGTTTTCTGACAGCATTCCAGGTAAGAAATTTTAATTTTTACTTTATTTTTAATTCCCCGTCGATATATACACATACTTAAAGAAGGCAATACTTCATCACACGTTATAGACCGACGATACAAAATCACAAAGAGACTTACCAAATAACAAAAACCAAACCACTTGAAGACTTCTAACAGTAACAACAAAATAGGTAGCACATGTGTATAGAAAGGAAAATAATGAGATAATCAAGATGTTTGCTTTCCACACTACCGAAAACAAAAAGTTAAGAAGGAAATTCCTATAAATATTAGAAAGAGCAATAACAGTAAACTTTAGAAGTTTAATTTCCTGAAAAATGATTTCAAGAAAGATTTTATAGAAATGTCAACCAATAGTAACACTAACAGTTTGATTTATGCCGATTATTTCCTGCATGGAATAGGCTATTTTCACAATTACCATGACGATTATTACTTCCAAAGAGAAATTTCCTATTCCTTTTGAAATATTTGCCATATATTTATTAATCGCCAGTAATGTGCACATGGTCAAGTGGTCAGCACGTCCTCATAACAACCATGCCACCCGAGTTCGAATCTTACCATCAAGATGATTTCTTGACGTCAATCGACACCTTTGGGAAGTGACTGAAAACCATACCACAGAAGCCTTGAGAGTGAAAGTGGGAAGACATATCTACTTGTGTGCCGTCGATGCTTAAGCTAGCACGAAGTAGCAAGTCATCGTGACCGAGGGTGTGAATGTACTGGCCTTGTTTAGACTGTACATAATGCGCTCTTTCCTAGAAACTATAATTAATGTTCGTTCAGTGTAGTTGTAGTATAAACCACAGATGTAGTCTGTAGGTGTTGAACATACACAAACATTCCTGAGCAGGAGTCTGCAATAGGGATTGGCTAGCCATCCTAGCAAACAGTGTCCAGTTTATTAAGCTAGTGTTTAACTTCATATTTTTCCATAGTAATTTTTGGGTTGAGCATCATTCTATAGTTTTTGCTTGTTTGTTTTGTATTTTTTTTTTACTAATGTACACTCTATACAAAGCCCAAGAGACACTCGAGGTAGAGGGTTAATGAAGGCGGTTGTTGTGTGAGCGGTAATAATATGATTGATTAATTCGTTTTTTACAGGTTATCAACCCTTTGCAGGTTATTTAAAGCCAGCAATATTGTTAGATTTAAGATGTTTTTTTAGATAATGAGATAATAATGATTTAGTGATACAAGTCTTAATAATTAACCCATAGCTGGCGGAGAATAGTTGTATTCATAACTTCCCCACGGGTATTTGTGCGTAAGTGAATAAAACGAACATAACTGGAATTCGGCTCTCCGATTAACAATTCCGAGCCATTACACCATCCGCACATCCAAGCTTACAACACCCGGTATTTCCAATTGGTCACCCATCTAGGTACTGACCAGGCTCGGCGTTGCTTAACTTCGGTGATCGTACGGGAACTGGTGTTTCAATGTGATATGTCTGTAAGCCTAAGGAGTAAGAGCCGCAATTTATGAGAATATGTGGGCAAGATAACGGTTGACCATCGACTTTGAGAGGTTAAGATTGTTGCGGTCGGGAGAGCATCATCTTGGAAGTCGGGTCCATAAAGTAGCGATTCGTGGTAAGAAGCTGTTCGAGTGCGACTTCTAGCTAATGGAATACGAAGAAAACGAATATGGTTCACACCGTGTACGCGGTGTGGCGAGTCTTAGCTGTGAGGTTTAGAATTGGTGCAACTAAGGAATGTAGCCCGTCCGGAACATTTCCCATGGAAATAGCGATATGTTAACGAGAGACTTGCAACGTTTCGTGTGTTGGAAAGCGGTTATAGGGTGGAAAACAATGTATCACCCACAAGGGCGCGTAGACTGGAAATCGAAGACTGTGCAGCTCCAGCCCAGATATGGTAGGAGTACTCCATTTTCAGTCTGATCTGGCTCTTGTTAGTTCCGTCAGTTCTAACTCTTACAGCTAAGACATATCATGCCACTTCCACAGAGTCGAATTATCCTAATCTCCTCCATGTTCCAAATGTAAGAAAGTTCCGCTTAAAGAGCTTTCCTCCAAGAACTATCACTCTGTGGAACAGTCTCCTGCATGGTTATTTCCCTAAACACTTGACCTCTTCAAGTCATGCGACAAGTGTCATCGTTTCTCCCTTACCCTTCATTTCTTACCATCTCTTCCACTCATATCACATACCACATTCAGCAGTGACAATTTTGATTGTATCCTTGAGTGGCTCTCGAGCTTTATTAGGTGAAAATTAATATATATAAAAAGTAGCTTACAAGGATTTAAAAATCAGTTGATATTTATAAAGGTTCGATTATGGGGATTATCTTCAATAATGTGTTTATTTCCAATATATTCTAATTCAAATATTATCTGTCAGGGCACCGTATGAAGACATCTTGGTTTCTGTCTGAGACCAATAATGGAAACTTCTGAAGAACAAATGAAAATAATCAAATGCTTTTTGTAAAATTATGTGTTCAGTCATTCTAATAACTGTATTTCTTTTTAGATCGATGGTACCATTGTACAATGATGGTAATATTACAATTCGACCCTCTCATACCATTACACCTGTGTTAATCGGTGTCATCAAATATCAATAGGTTACCATCATTATTCCAATAAAATTAATACGATTTTATTTTTCTAAAAACTTAATTTAGACTTCACGTGATGTCTTTTGTCTGTCTGTCTGTCCTCCTCTCTCTATTTCTTTATATATATATATATATATATATGTATGTGTGTGTGTGTGTGTGTGTGTGTGTGTGTGTGTGTGTGTGTGTGTGTGCTTAAATTCATACAGTCTAGGTACCACAGCGAAGAGTTCACACGAACAATTACCATGAAAGTATTTATGAAAAAGACACAAAGAGGCAACCTTACGGCGGTGGGCAAGTAACTGGAGCCAAGCCGCCAGATCAGGACCAATAATATTGCTGATTCTTCTTTGGGCCTTATGAAGGTCCTCCAAGGAAAATAGCAGGGGCACCGGACCATATATAGCAGAAATATTATAGGCATGAACGGATGGTAGACTTACAGATATGCAAGATATATTCCGGGGAGAAAAATTCTCTCGCCCGACACATCGAAACAATTTTTTAGCAGCTGATCTAGCGATGGATTCAATGTAGTCTATCCGACTCATGTCAGCTGAGAACATTAGCACGAGGAGGCGCAATGAGTCACTTTCCTGGAGGATAGCATCAGCCATACTGATGGAAGGCAAAGAGGAGTCTCTCAGATGATTAAGGGAGAGAGGTTTAGTTTTGAAAGCGTTAAAATTGACAAACCATCTTTTGCCCCAGTTAACAATGGTCTTGAGGTCATTTTGTACATCACCTGTCATTTTGACATTGTCTGACTAATTAGCCTTAATATATATATATATATATATATATATATATATATATATGAGATAACGATATATATTTGTATATATCAAGAACAATATTGGTGAAATTGTGTGTTAAGAATTTGAGTAGACACATCTACTATTGATGGTAAATAACTTGATTTGAGTATGCACATTCACTTGATGGTAAATTCAATTTTCCTGAAGAGTAGATGCGATTGCATGAAACTCAGAATAGAGACATTCATAAGATAAGTGATTATTATTATTATTATTATTATTATTATTATTATTATTATTATTTCTTTTGATTTCTGGTGTATACTCATTTCTTCCCGGGTCCCGACCAGAGACCTAAGGTCAGAAATGGCATCATGACATTTTCCACTGAGTAATTTTTTTTAAATATCACAAATATTTTACATAGATAAAGCCCTTTATGATTTGTGGGCTGTATTCGTGAGAATATTTATCTTTAAAGTATGGGCTACCAGGAAATCCTTCTATTAGAATCTTTTCCAATCAATCCGAGTGCTCCAACTACAACTGGAATTGTTGATGTTCACATGTGCCACATTTTTGAGATTTCGATTTCAAGGTCCTTGTATTTTGATAGTGTCTTCAAAGATACATTGTAGTCTGCAGGGATTGCTATAACAATAAGGAGGCACTTTTTGTGTTTCCGGTCTCTAATAACGATGTCTGGACGATTAGCTTTGATTGTTCTATCTGTGTGTATTGTGAAATCCCATAAAATTATTACAGGATCTATCTCCGTAACCGGGTCTGGGCGGTGTTCATACCAATTTCTTTCACTTTCCATTCCGCAGAAGTTGCAGATTATCCAATGCAGATATTGGTTCAGTCTGTAATGCCGTCTTTTATAATTTGTAGGTACCACTACCACGCAACCTGTTACAAGATGATTAATTTTTCTGGATATTTATCACAGAATCTGCATTTTGGGCTAACAAAATTTTTCAGTATGTGTGCTTGATAATTTCTACTTAGCAAGCATTGGTCATGTGCAGCAAGAATAAAACCTTCAGTTTCAGCTTTCAACCCTGCACTACGTAGCCACTGATGGGTACGGGATTTGTCTACATCAGCTTGTTTGATACGGGTAGAGTATTGATCGTGAAGAGGCTTATCTTGCCATCGTTTCTGTATCTGGTCGGTTGCATTTGCTTTCTTTTTTAAGTATTTTGCAGCTTCAGTCGGTGTATTGTGCTTGTATTTCTGCACCCATTTGAAACTGCATAGCCACTTGTGCGAAACAGAAATATTCGGATTTTTTGGTAAAATACAATGTTTGATATTGTTATATATATATATATATATATATATATATATACATTTGTGTGTGTGTATGCGTGCGTGTATATGTGCGTGCTTGCGTATGTGCGTGATTACACTAATTGGTTAAAAAACTCGTCTGTAATATCAATCGATGTGTCCAATGTGTCGGATATTCATTGAGTGCACTACTGTAGTTTTATTTTAAACTAATTAATCTCAACAAAGAACTTTCTCTCCCCACTCTCTCTCCTCTCTCTCTCTCTCTCTCTCTCTATATATATATATATATATATATATATATATATATATATATATATATATGTATTTTTTCAGCACTCGCGGCCTGGCGATTGCATCTAGCATGAAACAGCCTGCCGCTTCTGAGTGTTGACTTCAATGGTGACTTTTATATTTATATCTACACACGCTCTATCTCTGATATTGAGGCACTTTATCCCATAATATAGCACACCTTAAAACTATATTTCTTCTTATATATATATATATATATATAATAAATGCGAATGTCAGTATGTCACTGTGTCACACTTTTTCAACTTAAACAGACACAACTCACTAACTTTCAATAGCTTATTTCAAATGAAAAAATTACTGTTCTCAAATTACAGTGTTCCAAAATAAAATTGTCCGTGTTTTCAACTTTACTCCTAGAGGCCGCAGCCCAACATATCATACCATTTTGGAATCAGGTTGACCCCGTGACCAATTAAAAAATATTCCGGACCGGATCACGACCAACAATCCTGAAATTTTGCATTCCTAACTTTTCATTACTGTTTGTTTTTGATGATTTTTACTTGATTTTTGCGACGATTTTTTTTGTACGATAACAATTTTTACAACTTGAAAATAAATTTGGGAATAATCGAAATTAATTGCGAAATCCAGCCATGAAATAGAAATAATTGTTTGTACGGAATATAAATTGCTTTTAAATTAAGTAGTAGCAGAAGAATTTCCGTTTAAAAGCTAAACTTAAATGTTAATGCAATACTTAAATGCAGCGATCAATATTAAGTTCTTCTGTAGTTTATTGTTGCCTCTCGCATCTACTCCTCCCCTACCTATTGTCATGAAGGCCTAACCAAGAGATTTCCGTAGGAGCTAGCTTAAATGCCGCCCGATATAGCGGCTTTTAAGTTATCTTATGTGTGTGTGTCTGTGTGTGAGTCTGTCTGTCTGTGTGTTTCATTAAATTTGTCAAACCAGAATATCTGAACAATGATGATATTATCTTTTATCTTCGTATTTGACGGCAAGACGATCAAATTTCAAATCTAAATTGTTTGTCTATAGTTAAAATACTATACTTATTATAAAATATATTCAGTTTAAAAATGAATCATAAAAAGGACCTCAATAGATCACACATAATTACCAATAAAGTTAGTAAGCCTTTCTCACTACAAGTAAGAGAAAATGTGGGTTACATTTTTTTCGCCAAAAACACCTGATAGGAGGCGCTATTAAAGTCTATAAAAAGGCAAACATTTCTCCCTCTCTCTCTCTCTCTCTCTCACACACTCTCTCTCTCTCTCTCTCTCTCTCTCTCGCTCGCTCGCTCGCTCCTTGTTTCCAAGAAAATGTCATCACTTCAAACAATCGTGATTCACGCAACAACAAAAAGTTGTTTATTTTATTTCACAGCCATACATACTTATCAAAAATACAGTTTGGTGAACATGAAGCTGTTAATTATTTACATTATTCGGACTATTGTCCTCATCTTTGTCGCCATATTTATCACAACGTTTCGGCCGTTGTACGCTCCAGCCTGCTTCA